TCTACAACTTGGGCGAGGCACAACCCAGCGCTCAAAATGACTGAGCTAAAAGTACATCTAAAACAATTCAACTCAGAGTCAAAAATTCTGAACTTGAGTTAAAATGAAACAATTGAGACGAACTTGACTGTTACAGATATAGTCACTACCAGCCTGCTGAAATTCCCAAATTTCCCCATAGTACAAGAGGCCAGTTTGGATCGCCTCATATACCTTTTCTTGTTCCTGATCTGTAAGCATATTTTGGAACATAACCCATCAGGCAATTTGGCTCAAATAGTGGGCTAGTTCCATATTCAGGTATATGCCTTTTTATTTGATCCTAACTTCGAGGAGTTTCTTCTAATTGAGCTCCCCAGGACTGTGATATCAAAATACCTGCGTTCAGGTACCCAGTGGTGGTCAAGTCCCCACCTTCCAATATCTTGTCAAGTTAATAATAAATCAGCATGATTAAGTTGGTCCATTCCTCCTACTCCACTGCTGCAATTGAATTAGTATGGCATCTTTAAGGTACAACTTAAGTGCTTGGAAGTCTGTGAAGCCTTCGGTTATCAGTTGGCAGATATAGTCAATGTGGCTACCCGCCCCATTCCAAGAGTTTTCATCAGTTTGGTCTGCCACAGTACTGTATGATTTGGATTTTGGTTTGGGTTTTGGTGCGTCAGCTGAGTTTTAGCCTTCATAAGCCAAATGAACGATTCATTGAGGATAAACCTCCAGTTCAAGGAAGCTTTAACTTGGCAGATATTAATACTGCAGTGGGTTATATTCATAATCTTTGATGACTGAACTCAAAAGTTTGCCAGACAAAGGTGTCAGTTGGCAAGGAACTCACATGGTACCAGTGAAGGGCAGTTTCAGGACCACATGTCATATACAATTACTGTTGTAGAGCCTCCAGCGTGATCAAGTTACGGTGGCACCAGTCCCTCACTGTGATGCTGTTCCAGCCCCTTAAGTAAAGTATCTTTCCATGGCAGCTGCCACATCTGCTTCACTCCATTGGAAAGCCTCCGTAGGAGCAAATCCTTTTCAGCATAAGGGGCTGCAACAGATGGCTCTAGGAATTAATGTTTCCAGTCATGAAGGGTTTTGATACAAATTCCCTCTTTGAGCCAATCACGCCTGAGGTTAAAAGTTGTGGCCCTCTTCATTGCTACTGCTGCTTGTGGATAAACTTCATGTTCCATCCACGGTGGACAGATTTGGGGGTGAGCCTGCAGCGTCCCAGTCATCTGCCTCAGCAAATGTGGCAAAGTTTCGCCAGATTTTTTATTTTGAGATGGGGAATGTGCAGCTACAATGAGTCTCATGGATTGGCTTTGTTACCTCTAGCTCAGCCCACTCATGAGCCTGCTTGATACAGGCACCTGAACAGAACCAGTGTTTCATTTCCAACGGGGTATACCCATTGGTGCACCAGTTGAAGTTGGGTAAATGACCAGTGTAAGGCTTTGATAGCCTTATACCTGGCCACAATCCATGGTAGAGCCTCCTCAGTAGAGAATGTGGTATTGTATCATTCCAGTGCTATTTTAACTGGAAAGGCATGGTGAGCCCATTTTGGGTGGTTTAAATGTTCAGGAAGTGCTTCATATATGTGGTAAGTTCTGTTGGTAGGAGGCCTGAACTCCCAACATCTTAGGCTAATTTTTTTGTTACACCTGCCTTGGTGTACTCCATCACATTGTGGAGATTGATACTGGCTTCCATCCAGGATTTGCATCCATAGGCTTCAGATCCCCACGGATGGCAGCCTTAATGGTGGGGCGATTGAGTGGAAGTTTCATCCATTTGAGTGCGTCGTTGATATAAATCCTCAATATTTGAAAAATACTACCTTTTCAACGTGATTTGGGTATTGAGACAGCGTTTGGCAACTCCAGCGAAGAACTTATGTTATCTCCAAATAGAAAGCAATGGCAGGAGACATGGCTTTCATAATCTGCTGAATCACCGTGGATTATGGGAACTGAAGTGTATCACACTATTTAATCTTGTGGGAGGATACCTTGTGATGCGTAAGCATATCTTTTTGCACAGGAAGGTCCTTCATGGGGGCTCTGGATGATGGCTTGACCACAGTGGCAGTGGTTGATTCCTCTGAGAAGATTTCTAATTTCCTTGATGGATTAGCCTGGTGGTCTAGTCCATTGGATTTGGTTCCTGATACTACTGCTACCCCTTTTGGGTTATAGCCCAATGAATCGGTTGTGCAAGCAGTATGAGTTTAAATGGGGATAGTTCCTGCCACTAACTGGCGTTTGTTGGGGATAGTGCCCAAAAATTTTGTTAGGTGAGCGGATTTTTTTTGGTGGAAGTGGTTCCAATTTGAATATAGACTTATCAGGGATTGAACCTAACAAATTAGTTGATCATTCTGTGTAGATTGTGTGAGTTGGATCGCAATTTGACAAAAACATTATTGGTACTTTTAGCTGGCACTTTTTTGGTGTGATTGGGTACACTGACAGGCTTGGATCCTCCAGATATAATCTCACTGAGACCAAACGACCTGATTTTACTTCGCCCTCCCCCAGAACTCTCTTTGGTAATTCCATTGGGCTTACTAGGGGCAGCAGATGGGGACTTTACTGTTAAAGACCTTGCAACCCATATGGACTGCATGCTGTGTCACTGGGGTTTGAACCCCATTGGCATCATTATAAAAATATTGGTATTGTTGCACACTGGGAGGGTGCCAATACACCATGATGTAATCATGTATCATCCCCAATAGCACCATGGGCATCAGTAGCAGGAAGTAATCTGTCAGAGTCACTTTCTATATTAGTATGCTTTTAAAAGGACTTATCCATTAAAACGTGCACTGCTTAGTCAAGGAAGTAGTTGTTGAATCAGTTTGAGATGAGCGGGCACCATTGCCAATATCCCTGTGAGAAGAGTCAGTGGAAAGTCATCTGGTGAATCTATTTATCACTGCAACTTTCTTTATTGATAATAAAAAACTGTTGGAGTGTAAGCAGGTCATCTGTTTTTTCATGCTTAGCACTGATGGGTGGAGAGTCCTACTTGTTCTAGGGGTAATGACCATGGTATACTGCTCTATAGGTGCAGTAACATACTAGCAGGCAGGATTTTCTCTCTAGTCTTGTTCTGATCATGTTTGAATTAAAAGTGAGCTTAGTGAGAGAAAGATGTTTTTAGAACTAACCAATTATATATTGATGAGATAAAGTATCTAAAATATTGATGTGGTACTCAAACAATAGTAATATAATGAAAAAAGTATACTGCCTCCTGAGTTTGATCCCAGTAGATAAACTTTAAGTAGGGGATGATTTATGACTGTGTTGGCATTGCACACCAATGCCCAAACCGAGATAGCAAATAGCAAGGTGGTCCATGGAGTTCCTGACCTATTAAAATGCCACATGTGGAGGTTTACCATTATTTATCCTCCTTTCCTATTAAATTTTATTTTCCCATTAATTAGTGCAGTATCATCCCCATATCGTCCCACCTTGAATAGTAAAATTGAATTAATAAAAAAGTAGATATTATAATTTAAGATATGAACAACATTTATGTTATAATCTAAGAAATAAAGTAGAGCTAATTATTTTTTCATAATGTCTTAAGGTTGCACGTCCTGCCTTGTGTCACTTAATGAACTTGCAGAAAGTTAGTAGAGTAATACAATGCTAAAAGATCTATTAATGAGCTTATGACAAATTATCAACTTAGCTTCATGTAGTTTAGGAATTTTTGTCAGGATTGTGTTAGATATAAAAAGTCCATTTGATTACATTTTTAATCACTGGTATAATTCAGTAAATACAAAATCCAATGAATATGTCATGGGGATATTTATAAGTTCTATATTGCTACTTAAGTAAAAAAATGAAATTTTCCACCTATTTCTATAGCATGAGCAAAGAGCTAATTAGGAAATATGAATTTAGCTTTTATGGTGAAAGCAGATGACCCTATTTTAGACAATTTTAATTTAATTAGAAAAAATATCGTGATGTAAAACTTTTATTGATTATAATGATGTTTTTTATTTAATAATCTATACTATAGCAAATAAAGATAGAAACAAAGCTAGTTTACACAGTAACATTTATATAATAAATTTGGTTTGTTAATTATAATTTAATAATTATAGGACATAATGAATTTTACCATACTTCTTAAGGTTTAATAGTGTTTTAAAGCAATGTGTCATATAAACTATGGGTAATCTAAGAGATTAGGAACCTTAAGATCAAAGATAGTGCATAAAAGTAAGAGATAACTACAAGCCATATAATTGGAGTGCACATTGTACTATGTAATTTTAACTAAATTATCTGTTATAAACTATGCTTTAGTCTCTCATTAAACTTGGACTTAATTTTAGGAGGGCAATTAACACTGTGATTTAAATTTTAAATTTTATTCGAGGTGGGCCGACCTGGGGACGGTACCGCACCGATTAGGAAAGTGAAGAAAATGGGAAAGGAGGATAAAACCCGGAAAACCTCCATGCGCGGCGTATGATAGGCCAGGAACTTCATGGACCGCCTTTGCTATTCGCTATCTCGGTTCGGGGCATTGGCGCGCAAAACCAACACAGTCAAAATCGTCCCCTACCCAAAGTCCATTACCGGGATCGAACTCGGGAGGCAGTGGTAGAGGGTCCATACTCTACCACTGGGGTATCCTCCCTTTTAACACTATGATTTAACTTTATTTAAATTAGAGAATTACAACATAAAAATTTGGAACTAATTTTTTTATTCGCGCATAATTTTGATATATAGGAAACAAAGCTAAACGCATATAGTTGTACTCATTTGTCAGAGAATTTTACTTTCAGCCTATTTAATGAAAAGTCACTCTTAAGAGGCATAATAGCATTATAAATGTTTAGAAGCTTCAAAAATCGTGATTAGTTCTGGTGAATTTATAAATTATCTGTATTAAAAACTCATACCACAAAGTGATTATACATAGTTAAAATTGAAAAAAGTTATAGTTAAAAATTACAAGACACTTTGGCCGAGCGGTCAAGGCGTGAGCCTAGAAAGCTCATGGGGTTTCCCCGCGCAGGTTCAAATCCTGCAGGTGTCGTTTTTTTTCTATCGATGACTTTCCCCTCGATTTAAATATTCAGGTGGGTCGATCTTTCGGACAAATATACCACACCGAGAATCTTCTAGCCGGTACAGGTTTCGAACTCGAAACCTGCATTAGGGTGGAAGCGGTTTTACCCGCCCGGCTAACCACCCTTTTTCCCTCGATTTAGGACCATCTAGAACTATATTAAGAACTGAGCTTCTAACTATAACAAGTATAGAAGCCTATCTGCTAAGATTAATTTTTAGTGTATAAAAGCATGTCATGGTCAGAATCATACCTCATTTATTATTTTAGGCTGTACTCAAAAGCTAAAGATCTCAAATAGGATTGATGATGACATGATTACCATAATTAGGAGTAAACACAATTACTATGCTAATCCTTAGAATATTCTGTAGATGTAATTTGATACTGTGCTTGACATATTGCTAGTTGGATGCGGGTGATCTGTATAAACCCATTCACTTTTCATTTAATCAATATGATATACTATCCACCTTCAACACGGCCAAACAACCTCACTAAAATATTGTATAATATGAATTACAGTGCCAGAATCATTCAAAAAGAATAAATTGCAAAAAATAAATAAGACCAGTTGACATTTGTATAGATTCCCTAAATCTAAATTTAAGTATCTAAAAAACAACTTATATAAATTAAGTTAATGCATTGTAACCTAAGAAAATGTCTTAAGGGTAAAAAAAGATAAGTTTACAATATAAGCTTTTGATTAAAGCCATATTCACAATTATCCAAGGCTTAAACCAAGTAATCCAAATCCTGTTTAATTTATTTGGTGTGAGCTGGCCAGGAGAGTGACATTACCAATTCTTAAAGAGCTATGTAAAAATAAACCTAAAATAAAAGCTCTAAATAAGACAAATATATCCACTTGAACTGACACAAAAAAAGTTAGCCAGCCAAGTCAGAAGCAGAAACTGCTAGACAAGTATGACTGAGAGTGAAGGGAAAACAAGAGGCTCTTCATTCTCCTATGGTTTGGAAAGGGTTTAGCATAAAGCTGAGAGCATGTCATGAGTGCATCATGAAGGTTTGGCCAGGGTAGCAAAATGGGCTTGCAACTTAACCTAAGCAATGAGGTGATTGGTTGTATACTCAGAGAGTTCTTTCTCAGCCTCAAGATGTATTTTGGGGATGGTGGCAAAGGTGGCCACACTGGAGTGGTGGATTAAGTTCTTCAAGCTAAACTTTGTGAAGCAAAACTTATGAACCACCTTACTGATAGCATATTGGAAGTATAGGTGCTCTTTTTTAGGTATGGGGTGCATGGTGGTGGGGAGACTAAGAGGGGGCAGGCCCCTGGAATTACTACAACCAACTTTGCAACAGCTTTTTGATAGGAGAAACATTGTGATGAGGAAACTGTTATTTATATAGCATGTGATCAATTTTAAATTTACCAGCATCAGGGCAGGACGCATAATGCTAAGTAGATATCTTTGGGCTGCATACCTAGTATTTAGGTACATTTTTATAGCAGAACCCTCAACCAAGTCAATAACAGGATCATCAAATTCATCTACTTCTTTCAAATAATCTAGTAATTTTAGTTGAATTTAATGGGAGGTCAGCATATGGGTAGGCTGGTCAGGTGGCTTTGTGTAGGGTTTGGAATATACTGGTGTCCAATCCAGCCCTTGATTGGCTGGTTTATGAGAGGAGTCTTGGCAATAGGGCTCTTGATTGGTTGATGTAAGGATGTCAGGGAAATGGAAAATAATGTTTAGACTGGCCTGCCAGTCAGGATGCAAAAGCATCCAAAAGGCAAGCCAGAATGCCAGGGGCATTGCTGCTCAAACAACGTGTAAGTGGACGGGGAGATAGGTAACAATTGAGTGCCAATGCGCCATGAGCATAAAAAGCAACCCAGTGAGAAACCAGGCTGTTGTAGCTCTAGGCCCAACGAGCCTGGGCGTAGGGAGTTGCAAGGTCATATTGAGCAATTTGGTGCTCCCCATAAGAGAATTGGGTACAATAACATTGACAAGGGGGCAGAACCTTTCCAGGAGTGGGGATAGTTGGGCCCACAGAATACTGAGATCCTACTGGCAGATAGCCTCCGAAATTGAGGAGAGTTCCACAAAATTCTTAATGTGATAGGCCCAATAGACTGCAGTAGGAACCAAAGTTATTAACATATCTGGGATTGCCCAGTTGATATGAGGCTCGTGAGGCCAAATGATGTTGCAGGGGTTCAGCAAAAAGAAATTTGAACTTAACTAAATAAAATGGAGCACAGGAAGATTTTTAAATAAAATAAGAAAATTACTGTCAAATTCCTCAGTGCATTTCAACTACTAAGATTATTGATCAGGGAATAGCTTAGGAAAGTGAGGGATTGGGGCCCTTGATATTTGACCTAGCCTGGCGAACTTTGAGTGAGGGGGAAACAAATTTTAATTAAAACTAACTTCAAAAGAATCAGCAGTGGACCAAGTCATTGTTAGTTTGTCCATGGACGCCCATATTGTGGATTTTTCGTGGTTCTGACAATTGGAGTGACAGCATCTTGCCCAATGGGCAGTTGGAATCTCCCAAGTCCACCCCATGTAGGAGCGGTCCCAAGAGGTTGGGAATGGGTTTGAGACACCTAACCCACTTGCACCTGGTCACTACATCATCCGTTTGGCCAAGTGAGATATATTGGATGAAGACTCTGATGATTTCAGGGAGGATTTTGAACTCGGCAGCAACATTTCCCAATGACCTGATGCCATCAGTGAGCTTTACTGAAGATTCAATACTAGATGCTTTATTTGCTGAAAGTATGCGCCTGTTGGGCTTTGTTGCCAATGGTTTGGGACTCTTGGGCCTTGATGCCAAAGGCTTGTTGACATAAAAATTTATTTAAATTTTTTTACTCATAAGTATGCCAAATTTCCAATAGCTTGGCACAAAATCCCTTGATAAATAGTACCAATTTGGCTAAAATTAATACTAGTATGGGTGGCGGGGTCCTTAAAGGGTAAGCTGTTACCCATCACGTGTCCACCACATGGGAGAGGTTGCCCTGGGAGACAAGAAGGGCAGCTGGCCTTCTTGGCCCCTTTTTTGATGGGAATGGGAACACCACCCAGTTCAAGTGGAGGGGGCGCTCCCCCGGACTTACAAGGGGCAGCTGAAGCTAATAAATTGGGAAGGAGAGTTGGATAATTGCGCCCCAGTTATAAAATGTGGTAAGGTCAGTGGTCATAATGAGAGGAGTTATGTGTGCAGCCGCTGTCAGTATTTTTGACAATAAACGAATCAAAATTCCCACTTACATAATTGAACATTGATAAAAAACTATTAATCCTCTTTATCAAAATCTTTCTATTGAAGGAAGACTTGGAGAGTTTAATCAGGAACTATCACATGTGTAGGAACATATAGAAACACCTTTTGTATTGGCCCCATCTTCCTTTTACAAAAAAGACTCCTAATCAATGTGGTCATGAGTTCATCACTAACAGGTAACAATGATAGACTAAACAGGCAGTCAATATTTAATGAATGGGATGACCCTTTTTTATGAAACCATGGAAGTCTCTACACAACGCATCCCAACTCACCATAAAAGTAAAATCCTTTTAGTTTAATAAAAAAGGTCAATTACCCCATGTTCTTCTTTGAATGATCTGCTAATTTAACATCTTTGAGCCCCACTAGAAAATAAGCTTATAGTCTAGAGAACTGATAATCTGACAGAAGTGTTGCTCACTACAGGGGCCTCTGAGCATTACAGTGAAAATGTCTAACACAAGAAATGTAGAACGATTCCAACAAAAAGAATTAATCTTCAGATTGGTCAATAAGTGTAACCTAAAAGATTAACACATCTCAATTTGAGGTAACTCCTTAGCAGCCTAAAAGCTTGGTTTTGGGCCACTTTTGAGTTCAACCTACACTAAGTTGATCAAACTAAAACTCAACTTCATCATGATAACATCAAAAAAATTAATTACTATACACTGAATGGCATATACTCTGTTGGAGGCCATTCCAGTCATTCTTAAGCCACATTCATACATTTTTTATTAACTGAGGTAAGCTGACCAGGGGATGGACATTACCAAACTAAAACTAAATATAATAAAAAAAAGATTCAAACAAAGCGCCCAAAATGAATGGATTGATTGAATCATACCTATCAAAATATCCAACCAGGTGGGCAGCGGATACTGCTATCCCTCCATGGTGGATGGTGAGGGGGGATTGGGGGGCTCATATTTGGCTGCATCCATCTCATCTCAGAGTAGGGTGCGTGTTAAGGCAGATAGTAAGGGTGTGAGGGAATCAGCGGTATGGGGTTCAATATTCTTGATGACTGGAACTTTCAAATAGTTGCCAACCATCAAAATGGCATCTATGTATTTGGCCAAAGCGTCTTCAGCTTTGAGGCGGGCGTCTGGGAGTTTAACGAACATGGCAATGTTGGTTTGGGTTATTTTTGCTTTTGGATTCCGTGCTACTGTTACCACGTTCTGGATGGTTTCAGTGACGTTTATGTGAAATTGTTTTATATTATCTTACTTTGTGTAGTAAGATTTTTGGGGATAATGGGAGGTGGAATTCCTCCTGCAAGCGCAGCCACAGATTTGGTGGCAGCTTTGCAGAGCGGATGGCAATCTGGTGTGGCGGTTGCTTCTACTGCAATCTGGTGGTCGCTGTAGAATGGTTTGGCGTTAGGTTGTGGGGTATATTTCCAAGGCGGAAATTTTGCATCCCATTCTGCATTACAGAACCTGTTGACTTGCAGCAACGGCTCCTCAACAACGTTACCTGATTTATTGATTTCATCCAAATACTCCCATGGGTTTTGGTTGAATTGGATTGGGGAATTGGCATATGGTTGAGGACTGGCTGTTTTTATGGATTTTGCCTGGGATCAAACTGGGGTCCAATCCTGCGCTTGATTGGAAGAATCATGCATGGCCCTGGGGAAAAGTGGATGCTGATTGGTGGCTGCAGGTGCAGCTGCAGCATCA